ACCCGCACCCTATGGTAACATGGGCCATGGACCTCAACACAGACCACAGCTGCAACAGGATCATGAACCCAGACATAGCCCTTGGCAGCAGCTCAGGCCCAGACATCACCATGGCCCCAGTTGCAGCACAAGCCACCCTGATCAGCAAGATCCTAGGACACCAACATGGTCTAAGGTGACTAATCAGACCCTGGGCATCTACACAGCTCTTGGTGGTAACAGGAGCCATGAACATCAACTTGGACCCTGGTTGCTGCAGGGCTACAGGACCCAGACATGGCCCTAAGCAGCATTCCAGACCCAGACGACGCCATGACTCCATGTGGCAGGACAGGCCACCCAGACTGGCCCCAGTGGAAGCAGGACCCTCAGACACCAACATGGCCACAAGTTGCTGCTGAGACCCTGGATATCTGTGTGGTCTTTGGTGGCAACATGGGCCACTGACAACACAGACCTCAGCTGCCCATGGCAGCAGCCTGGGCCCAAATGTCACCATGGCCCCATGTGGCAGCACAGGTCACTCAGATAGGCATGGCCCCCATGGCAGCAAGGTCTTCAGACACAAACATGGCCCCAGATGGAGGCCCAGACCCCTTGGTATCATCATGGCCTTAATGGCAACATGGGGCATGGATGTCAACACAGACCCCCAGCTGCAATAGGACCATGGAAATAGGCATGGCCCTAGGCAGCAGCCCAGGCCTGGACAACACCCTGGGCCCAGGTGGCAAGCAGGCTACACACATTAGTCCATACCTCACCACCTTCACTTCTTGAGAACTGCCTCATACCACAGCACATGAACTCTTCTGCCTCTCTTCCTCTCCCATTTCTCCATCATATACTTGCTCATTGTATGGCACCCAACCACTCTCCTGGCACTAAGAGGCACTGGGTGGACCTATGGATGCCTTCAGCCAACCCAGACTGTGAGAACCCAGGCTGGCCCACAGATGTCTTTTGCCTGTCTGAGCCATGTGTCATTAGCACTTTTTTTTTTAAACAGGCTCTCAGTAATTATTCCTGACTGAGAATATACAACTCTAAATACTGGATCAAAATACCAGTGATGCAGCCAGGCGTTGGTGGCTCACGCCTTTAATCCCAGCACTCGGGAGGCAGAGGCAGGCGGATCTCTGTGAGTTCGAGACCAGCCTGGTCTACAAGAGCTAGTTCCAGGAGAGCCTCCAAAGCCACAGGGAAACCCTGTCTTGAAAAAAAAAAAAAAAGTGATGCAAATAAATTGTGGTGACCTAAAAATGAACGTACACTTCCTCCTTCCAACAACCTCTTCAACTGTCACCCTCTCCCATCACTCAAAGGAAGACTTGCCTTTCCCTGGCCCAGAATCTCGCTTCGGTGCCTTCCTTTGTGCTTAACAATTTAAGGGGTGCATCCTTCCTGAGGGATGTCTTGTGAGAACACATCCAACGGAAGTGCAGAAAGAAACAGTAAAGGGCTGAAATGGCAATTCAGCTTAACCTCTCATCTGAAAGAATTCCTTGATTGCCACACAGACAGACAAGATATATGAAATAATGTCTAAGAACAACTTTTTATTAATAGATAAAATTACCCACATTCAATAAAACATGAAGTCTGCAGTATGTTCACAGTGGTATGTGTTGATCACTCCTCGCCATACTCCTTGTTGATATCCTGCCATTATATTGGCAGCTCAAAGGAAGGTTGCATGGCTACATTGTGCACGCATTACGTGGCTACATAAGGACTCTGTATGCAGAAATCACACGGAGCTGGGGCCACTCGAAGCTGGGCCAACAGCAGCTCCATGACTCCAGTTTCAATGGCCCCACCTGCTGAATCTCGTTCTAAATCACTCCCTTTCCCTTTTAAGCAAGCACACCTGCACCTGTTCTCTCTTTCCATTTCTGCTCCAGGTGATAGTTGACCTCTATCCCTCCCTTCTCTCCCTTTCCCAATAAACTCCATGTAGGTTTGTTGAGTTTGGTGGATCGTGTTTCATCGCCCAAGCTGCAGTAAAGAACAACAGTATGAACAAAACAAGCTGACTAATATATGCATTACCTCAGCTCATGGAGCTATACTTATGCCTGTTTGTAGTGATGACACTCTACCAGTGATTGTCAAGCAATGAATACCCTTGTATTAATTACAGTTGTCATGATGTAACATGATAGCTTTATTTAACATAATCTTTCTTAACTGAAATTTTTCATTCTTTAATCATCTCCCCAATCCCCAATCCTCCATACTGGATCTGACAACTGCCATCCTACTCTCTGCTTCTATAAATTTTACTGGATTAGATTATACTTAAGTGAGGTCACATGGCATTTCTCAGTGCCTATTTCATTTAACATGTCCTCCAAGTTCATCCACATTTATTTACTTGTTTACCTGTTGTGTGTGTGCACGCATGTGCGAGTGTATGTACTCATGCACCACATCCGTGTCACAGAATATGTGTGGAGGTCAGACAACTACTTGAAGGAGTCCCTTCTCTCATTCTACCATGTGAATGCTGGGGACTAAACTCAGGTCAGCAGGCTTGGTTGCAAGTGCCTTTGTCTATTCAGCCATTGAACTAAACTTCTGTAGATATTTTTGACTGTTGGGCCTAAAAGAGGGTAAATTGGAAGGCCTTTTGCTATTAGTATTAGTGAAAAGGATTAGCATATACATACAGACACAGACACACACACACACACACACACACACACAGCGAGAGAGAGAGAGAGAGAGAGAGAGAGAGAGAGTCTCATGTATCCCAGGATGGCCTCAAATCCAACAGATGGCTGAGAATAATGTTGAACTGATCTTCCTATCTCTACTTTCAGACTGGAATTGTAGGCCTGCCATTCCACATCTAGGCTGAAAACCTGGGCTAAGTTATGATGGTGCCATGAACAACTTCCATCTGCTCCTCTAATCACTGCCCTGTCTCTATTCTGTTTCTCTGACTTGCTCATTTTCTGTGTTATTCCTATTTCCCAAGTTACCTCAAATTCCAGAAACAAGGAGCCCTGAAGGCTTGAGTCCTATAATGGGAACCAGAACTAACCCGCAAGTGAGAATGATTTCGCAGTTGCAATCAGGATCTTGAAAGGTGAGACCTAAGACAAGGATCCTCAGATCAGAGCCTAAGATTGCTACAAATTTCTGGGAGAACTTGCATACCTTCCCCAACCACAATACCCCATACAATCTTGCAGCTATTCCAGGTACCTTGAAGGTGGTTCTCAGGATGTCACTAGACCACTGTCCTTCTGACCTTGGGAACTTGGAATAAATTCCTTAATCCCTTTTCTGTAATTATAAGTAACCAAATCTAGTTCATTAGCAGACTTCAAGACAGACATCTCTGGCTGTAGCCTCCAACAAAAGTAAAACTTTCACACAAACAGGAGTGTCTTAGGTAAAAGATACTTGATGGGATAAACAGAAGATTAAATGTTCCAATTAGGGAATTTAAAGGCATATAACTACCCACTGTGAAACAGAGTAGAGAAAAATATTATTTTATTTATATGGGTGTTTTGTCTGTGCACCACAGGCATGCCTGAAGACCAAGAGAGGGCATCAGATCCCCAGGAACTGGAATTGCAAACAGATGTGAGCTGCCATGTGAATGCTCAGAATCAAATCTGGGTCCTCTGAAAGAACAGCCAGTGCTTTGAACCCATCTCTGAACCAGCTCTTCAGCTCTATGCAGATTTTTCATTTGTTTGTTTGTTTTTTGAGACAGGGTCTCTCTAGGTAGCCTTGGTTGGGCTGAACTCACTCTGTGGACCAGGTTGACCTGGAACTCACAGAGATCTTCCTGCTTCTGCCTCCCAAGTGCTGAAATTAAAGGCTTTGCCACCACTATCCAAATGTTAGAATACCCCCAACCAGATAAAATTTTTGTTCACATAAAGACTGAAGCCTTCTCTGAACTTAAGCGGCTTAAGTCTTAAGTAACCATCTCCTTCCATCTTCTTTGTGATTATTATTTAAAAACTAGCAAATCATAACAAATTCCAGGCAATTGGGGCCCGGGGGGGGGGGGGGGCTTGCCACCCCCCCTTGTGTGTTTGCTAACCCTGGCTAGGTCTTGATGCACTCTTTCGGGGGGAAAAAAAAAAAAAAAAAACCTTGCCAAACTTTTCCCCTTATTTCTGTGTTCCTTTGTGAGATTATTCTGTTTGTATAGCAATCCGCAGCACAGAAATGAACAACAAATCAGTGGATTATTACATATTCTTTAAACTAAGAGGTTCCTATTAGACAGTTCTGGCTAACTCTATTACATTTCTTTGAAAAGATGGTTCTTGCTAAAGAAAAGGTTGAAAACACATTCTTTTCAGTACAGACACGCGGGAACGGATGGACACAAACTCAGGAGGCAACTGAAAAGTGTATATATTAAATAGAAGGGACTGGCTTTTTGTTGTTTGTTTGTTTGTTTGTTTGTTTGTTTGAGACAGGGGTTCTCTGTGAATCCCTGGCTGGAACACGATTTGTAGACCAGACTGGCCTCGAACTCAGAGATCGACCTGCCTCTGCCTCCTGAGTGCTGGGATTAAAGGTGTGCACCACCACTGCCGGGCGGACTGACAATTTTAAGTGGCAGTGCACCCAAAAATCCATATATCAACACCGTCAACCGGTTCCCAAAGGTTATTCACTTCTTGTAAGCACTCTTGTCCGCCCCAGGCGCTGAGTCTTTCTCAGGGTGAAGAGCTAGCAGCCTGGGGACAAGGAACTGAAGCTGTCAACTGCAGGGGTCCGTGCCTGCAAGGTTACCGAGACTGTGGAGCCAGACGCAAAGTGTCCCGGAACCAATAGCGGGCGGTGAGGAGTTGGTCCGCCCAGGTTCCGGGAGGTGCCAGAATCCCCAGCGGCTCACTGCTCCGCCCTCCTCCCGCCTCCATAGTAAATAGTCCCGGGCCGGGCCGGCGTGTCTGCCTGTGAGGTAATGCGGCTCTTTCTGGGTGAGAGGAGAAAGCAGCGTCCTGTCCTTGGCCTGAGCAATGCTGAGAAGCTGCGCTGCGCGCCTGCGCACTCTTGTGGCTGCGCCGGCGAGACGGCCGGGACCGGTGTGGGTGAGTCCCGAAACGCGGAACGCAGCAGCTGTGCTGCGAGCAGGGAGACAGCCGGACTGAAGCTAAGCTAACACCGGTCCTCGGCTGTAACAGGGGCTCTTCAGCCTTGAGATTCGAATCGGGAGGAACCTGAAGGGAGCATAACTCAAAGTTGAAATAGGTCAGCAGGGATTGGACCGCCACTACTACTGACATAATAAGAAAGGTTTACAAGGTCACCCAGAAAATCCGAGAAAGAACCAGCCATTACAGACCCCTGGAAAAGAGCACTTACCCTTTCCAGGAATCTAACCCTGATGGTCTCTGATTCGTTATAACCAACTTGGGAAGGGGCTTCTGACTGTCAGATAATCAATTACGCCCTCTCTGACCCATTTTCATCATCTTAGAGGATAAGATTAAATGAGATAATGCAAGGTAAGCGTTTAGCGTGCCTGGAATGTTAGTCTCAAATAATTCCCTGCCCTTATTTGTATCCCTACTTTGTTTCATTGATGTAGTCAGTACTTGTTGAGCCCCAACAATATTCCAGGCATCATTGCCCATTGATAGTTAAGTAAGACCTATTACTGTTAGAAAAGGAAAAGGAAACTTTCCTCCAAAGGAGTTTATGATCCAGTTTGGGAGAATGCAATCAGTTTTCCAAATTCAAATTGCCTGTATCCTTTGTGTTATAGTAAATGACTAAGGAACAACAGGGAACAGCTCTGTTTTAAGCAAGAACCAAAAGAGAACTTTGGTTATTAGATGACTGTGGCATCTCTCCCAAGCTATTGCAGCTTCCTGCTAGACAGTAAGTGTGGGCTGGAGGTATAGCTCAGTGGTAGACACAGAATTTTGAAAGAATAATGAATGTAGACTAATCACGTACCATCTTGCCCAGTAGAAAAGAAAATGTATTGTGCCAATCTTACAACCACAAATAAGGATTCGTTTCTTTAATTACATGTTGGTGCCTGGCAGTCTGTGCTGAATACAACTGAGCATTAGTGTTTACAGGCTTTCTGTCTTTAAGGAGGCATAAAAGTCATAACTTTTCTTACAACTCCAGCTCTCATAAATGTATAACTAAAGATCAAGCATGACCTTTCCTCAACTGAGAACAAAGGGTAATGATTACCCCTAGGATTCATCCTTCATGCACAACTGTGCTATGAATTTACGAGTACATTTACTGCAAGTAGCTCTTAGTTCTCACCTCTTTGAACTGAAAATTGGGTTGTTTTTATGCCCCACCACATTGTCCGTCTAACATAATTCGACATGCCTCAAACTAAAATTAGTAGTTCCACTCCCGTTCTCTCTGATCCACACTTTCACACGGACAGACATCTTTTCCTCCTAATCATGCCATTAAAAGCTCCAACTCTGGAATCTAAGACTCTTATGCTTTCTCTTTTCCTGAAGTTAGTAACTCCCCTGCGCCCTGGGTGCTAGTACTGAATGTCACTTAACCCTTTTCTTCTTACTCCTCCATACCTAGTCCAGCCTTGGGCCATATCTAACTTATACCTTTTAACAGCTTTGGCCACCTTCCCTTTTTTCTCACCATTTTAACTCATCCTTCTTCACTTAATGAAACTCTGAAAACCACTGTTTCTTTGCTGAAGGCTCACTGTGGAAAAAGGCATTTCAACACTCAAGTATCACTTTCATGATTTTTTTTTTACACGAATGCTTTTTATTTAAAAAAAAAAGAAAAATATTTTTTAAATTTCTGTGCGCTGCCTCATGTATGTCTGTGTACCATGTGTGGCAGTGCCTACAGAGGCCAGAAGAGATTGTTGGATCTCCTGGGACTGGAGTTACGGACAGTTGTGAGGCCATGTGGGTGCTGGAAATTGAACCTGCATCCCCTGGAAGAAAGGCCCGTGTTCTTAACCACTGAACCATGATTGCCTCTTTAAGTAGCTTCATCCTAAGTAGAGACGTTTGTGATGTAACAAGTGGGATATGCTACTCATGTCTTTCAAGTTATATAAATATATAATGTAAAGGATTTTATTATTACTGTAATTATATATTAGGTTGTTTATAATATTTAAACATGCATCTATCTTTGTCCTGGTGCTACCTTTCACACTAATGTTTTTGAACAGTTGATTGACCTAGAAGGTTAAACTTAAGACCTGTGGTGTGATCCCTCTCCCATTTTGTCAACCATATCTTGCAGTACCTCTTTTCTCTACACTTTCTATCCATGAAGTCTGAGATTCTAGCAATTCTCCAGTGTGCCATGTGGTCATTTTATCCTCTGAGTCTTTGCTGAGTGTAACCCTAGTTCTCACTTTCATGAACTTTAGCTGCATAGAAGCAGAGAGTACTGGTTGCTAGAGACTAGAAAGGAGAGAGAATAGTAAGGGGAGAGGGAATAGAGAGGCTGAATAGCCAATACCAAAATACAGTCACAGGTGGGTGGTAGTTATAGTTTACAGCAATTTATTATATATAGGTGTGTTCTTTAAAAAAATAGGGTCAAATTGGTGTCCTACCACTGAGCTGTGTCCCCAAGCTCTAATATATACTTGTGTGTCTGTGTGTGGCACATCCATCACATGCTACAGAGGCCAGGGCAGGCTGTCAAGTACCCTCCTTTATCACCTTATTTTTGCCTTAAGACAGAGTCCTTCATTGAGCTAGAAACTGGATATTTTGACTAGGCTGGCTGGTCCACAAGTTCTCGGGGATCTAACTGTCTCTACACTCTCAGTGCTAGGGTTACAAGCACTTTCTGCCATGGCCAGCTCCTATGGGTGCTAGGGATTTAAACTCGGGCCCTCATGCTTGCAGACAAACCCTTCTTACCCACTGAGCCATTTCCAAACCATCTCCCCAAGCCTCTATTATATAGTTTATAAAGAACTAAAAGAAAGATATTTGAAAGTTACTAACACCAAGAAATGTTTAATGTGTAAAGAGGTGACAATGTGCCAAGTATGATGACACACACCTTTGATGCCAGTACTTGGTAGACAGAGATAGGTGGATCTCTGTGAGTTCAAGTCCAGCCAGATCTATATAATGAATTCCAGGCCATCCAGGGCTTCATAGTGAGATCTGGTCTCATAAATCAATCAATCAATCAATCAATCAATTAATTAATTAATTAAAGTATTTCGGCTGGGTACAATTGTACATTCCTGTAATCCCACATTTGGGAAGCAGGAAGATCACAAAGTTTAGGCCAGTTTAGGCTATATAGCATACCCTGTCTCAAAAACAAAGTAAAACTTTTATATTTTAGATTGTATTTTAATTACATTTTTCCCTTCTCTTTACCCTCTAAGCCCTCTCATATACCCCTTCTCGCTCTCCTTTAAATTTACAACCTCCTTTATCATCAATTGTTTTTGTATGCTTATATGTATTTATATACATAATCCCAGATATAACTGTCGAGTCCATATAATGTTACTTGCAAGTATGTTTTCAGCACTGACTCTTTGGGACTGGACAACCAATTGGTGTGCTCTTCCCTGGGGGGACCACTTCTCCCTCCCATACCCAGCCTTACTCAGTTGCCTGTAGTTCTTTGTGTAGGGTTGAAGCGTCTGGGTTATTCGCTGTGTAGTTTAGCATGTCCATTGCTGCCATCCTTGTTTAGCTCACATTTGGACAGCCATGTTGCTGAGACTTTACTGATGTATACTAGGAAACACAACCTCAGGGCAAAGTCCTCAATCCTCTGGCTTTTACAATCTTTCCACCCCTTTAAAACTTTTTTCAATGAAAAGAAATAGGTGGCAACTTCAATGAGAGTGAGCAGTATGAAAAGAGAAAAAAAAAACTGCTGAGTGAAGTTTACAATTTTAGAACTATGCAAGGTCTTTGCTGCCTGAGGCGTGCCAGAAAAATGTAAAATGAACTACCTTAGCAGTGTAAATCAGGGTGCAGTGAAGTGAATGAAAAGAACTTGGAGAAAATATATCAATATTTTACCACATTTTTATTTAGAGGGAGAAATAATGGGTAGAGTTTTTCTGTCTTTCCCACATTATCTAAGCTGGGTTCTGAAGGGATAAGCTGATCAAAGAGGCATAGAAAATAAAGTTACTTATCCTGAGCCATAGGCAAAATGATATTTCTGTTTGTTTCTCTAGTACCACAAAGTCAGGATTTCCCTTTTTATCTCCATGGAAGGGTTTTTGTTGTTGCTGTTTGGGTTTGTTTACATTTATTTAATTGTGAGTGTAAATGGGGGGGTGCAACTTTGTGAACAACTTTGTTAGTTCTCCCTTCCCACCATATAGGTTCCAGCAATTTAGTGTAGGTCACCTTTACCCACTGAGTCATCTCGCCTATGCAATTTTTAATTTCATAGAGTGCTAGAGGCAAGGTTCCCTCTGTTCTTTCTATTGAACCAGGATTGGAGCCAACCCAGGCATCAGCAGAAGCTGATTCTTCCATCAGTGAGTACAGCATGGTATTTTGATGTCACTGGTGTGGCCATGTAGTTGATAATAACTACTCTGAGATTTCTGCAGCTGCTTTCCCATCTGTGAGCATCTGCTTTATGCTCCTTCATAGATCACGCTGTGTCTTCCTAGTCCTCCAGCACTTCAGTTGTTGACTGGAATGGTGGTAATGCTCAGTGCTCCAGAGAAGTGTTGTGAGTGAAAGTCATAGTTACCATGACATCAACCTCTCTTCTCTCAGCCTCCTCCTTGTCCCTCTTGTATTCTTTCTTGTAATTAACTGTCATTTACTCCATGGTGCCATTTGTATACCAGGGATTGGTTGTAGTGTTTGTCCTATTCCTTCATTTGCTTTGTGGAAGTAGTCTCTGAGTTCTGCTATATGATTTCATAGTTCTCACTGAGTTACCCCAATAGTCTCCAAGTAGAAGCCTCTATTTGCAGTCTTGGACATTGCCATTCTCTTTCCTGTTATGGCCAAACCTGAGTATGTCACTCCCTGCTTAAATAACTGAGAGTGCTGCAGATATAATTCAAACCAGTTAGCTTAGCATTGAGGCTTTGCCTATACCTCTATATCCTTCCACTCCTTCTCTTACACTGTGATATTGCCTAGCTTCTTTTAGACCTTAATCTCCTCATCTGTAAAATGGAGATAATAGTTCCTATTGCATAGAGTATAATAAACCCTTCAAAACTGTCTCGTGCCTCCTTACATTTACACACATTGATTTTATTATTATTGTTGTTGTTTATTCCTTTTTGTCTTTACATACACTACTCTTTCTAGTATCTACTTACCAATATTCAGGTCAAAGAGCTAAATACCACCATTCCCTTGTGATCTAGCTTCCTGTGTGTCATAGTTAGGGTCTCTATTGCTGTGAAGAAATACCATGAACATGGCAACTCTTACAAAGGAAAACATTTAATTGGGGTGGCTTATTTACAGTTCAAAGGTTCAATCCGATACCATCATGGTGGGGTGCACGGCAGTGTGCAGGCAGACATGATGCTGGTGAAGTTGCTGAAAGTCTTATATCTTGCAGGCAACAGAAAATGGTCTGAGACACTCCGTGATATCCTGAGCATAGGAAACCTTAAAGCCCACCCCCACAGTGACATATGACCTCCAATAAGGTCATACCCACTCCAATAAAGTCACACCTCCTGATAGTGCCATTCCCTATAAGATTATGGGAGTCAATTATATTCAAACTACCACACCATGTGTATCTCACTCATCCATCTCTCTGTGTCTGGTGACAGGCTCACCTGGGTTTAATGCTATCTCTGCCAATAACTATCTGGGAGAAGATGGACAAATCATTGACCTTTTGTCATTCTCACATTTCCATGAAGGGGTGTAGGGCAAATGAGCTCTCAAGTCCCTGATCACCTTCTAGCAGTAAGAAAAGCAGTATGGTAGTCTTAGGAAGTTGTCGAAAATATGAAATACTTTGTATCTCCTCTTTTTCTTTCTTGTCTGTCTTTTAGAGGTTGTTTTCTTCTGAGAAAGTCGTTCACAAGGACTATGGTCTCCCAAACCCCAGTTGGAGCAAGGACCTAAGACTCCTCTTTGACCAATTCATGAAGAAATGTGAAGACGGCTCCTGGAAACGTTTGTCTTCATACAGACAAAATCCTACTCGAGTCCTTAAAGACTTCCAAACCCGCTTTGTTGGTAAAAAACAGCCACTTTTCCCTAAATAATAAATGAATATCAATGTAAAGTGTAACAGACTGGAGCACTAATTATGACTTAAAGAGAAGGAAGAGCCAGACATGGTAGTTCTTCCATGTGTATAGTCCCTCTCAGTAGGCTGAGGAAAGAAGATCATGAGCTCAAAGCCAGCTAGGGCCACATAGCAAGTTCATGGCCATCATGGGCTATATGGTAAGACCCCTTTTCAGAGTGGGGAGGAAGGAGAAAGGAAGAGGGTGGGAAGCAGAGCAAGTAGGGATTGAAGGTGAAAGAGGAAAGAAAGGAAATGGGAAGATTAGAGAGAGGGGAAAGAGAAAAAAACAGTACTGGGTTCTATAGTCCTCAGTTTTATAAGCCAGAAGTCTCACTAAATTTTGTAGATTGTGGAAGAACACAAAATATATCAAAAATAAGATGATCTCAACCTGGCATCTTGAAGCTGACATCACCAATCTCTTTTCTCTGTATCTCAAAATCTGGCTTCTTCTCTTTGAGAAGATCAGAACATTTGAATTACTCACTGTAATTATAGAATTACCCGCTGTGATGAAACACCATGACCAAAAGCAAGTTGAGGAGGAAAAGGTTAATTTGCTTTATACTTTCACATTGTAGTCAATCACTGAAGGAAGTCAGGACAGGAACTCGTGGGGCTGGAACTTGGAGGCAGGAGCAGAGGCCATGAAGGGGTGCTCTTACTGGCTTGCTCCCCATGGCTTTCTCAGCCTGCTTTCCTATAGAACTCAGGACCACCAACCCAGGGGTAGCACCATCCACAATGGGCTGGTCCCTCCCCTATCAATCACTAATAAAGAAAATGCCTTACGTCCAGATCTTATAGAGGCATTTCCTCAATTGAGGCTCCCTTTTCTGATGACTCTAGCTAATGTCAAGTTGACATAATAGCTTGCATCAAGTTGACATAAAACTACCCAGCACACCCTCTAATCTCTCAGACTTTAAGCCCAAAGACAACCTACCTCATACTGTTGCCAGAAGTATCTGTCCCTCTCTACCCTGCAGCTAATCAATCACAAATAAACACACAGGGGCTTATATTGATTATAAGCTGGCTACTTAAACCAATATGAGCGGCAAAGCTTTACAGTGTACAAGAGCATTATTCCACATCATCAAACCCAACCCTCACAAATTATACTTCCTGTCATTCTGGGTTGTTTGTTTTATTTTTTGACACACTTTGTATTAAGCAACTATTTTAATTCCCTGACAGTTTTATATAATATTTGATGACTTCTAATTAGCCCTTAGTGTTTCCTCATAGCCTGTCTCCTGTTTTCCTAGTCTATTGACTCCCATGCTCTTCTGGATGTCTGCTTCCTGCCTTTCTTTCTACTCACGCCTCTAATTCTTTCCCATTCTCACTCTCAGCAGGTCTTGCTCCCTATTTCGCTGAAATGAAAATAGAAGCCAGCAGAAGAGCATTTCCAAACTCTGACCAGCTCTTGTCCCCTCCTCCCTGTACCTGAGCTTGATCTGCTTTTATCCTGCATGAATGAACTGACCATGAATAAAGGTCATACGCACTGTTTTTTCTTCCCTTGACCTGCTGGTGACAATGCTCCCTGCCGCATCTTTCTCAGCAGCAAACAGACCTTTCATAACTGTATTACTCCATCCTACTCTCTCGGGAACACAGCAACACACTGCCATCAGACTCTCATAGGGTGTACCCATTTCTCAGTACAGAAAACTCCTCACAGCTGTAACCCCATTCCCATTCAAAAGCTGACCGTTGCTCAATTTAATCCTTGGAACTTAGTGTCCTGGCTTGCTTTCTGTTGCTGTAACACCATGACTTAAAGCAACTTGAAGAGGAAAGAAAGGGTTTATTTTATGTTTACTACTTACAAACCAGTCGTGAAGGGAAGCAGGAACTGAAGCGGAAGCCACTGAGGAAACCTACTTTCTGACTTTCTCTGGATGGCTTGTTCAGCCTGTTTTCTTATACCACCCAGGACCCAGGGGTTTCACCACCCACAGTGGCCTGGGTCCTCCCGAACCAATCACTAATGAGGTCCCTATAGCTTGACTATAGGCAGTATGATGAAGGCTGTCCCTCAGTTAAGGTTCCCTCTTCCTGAATAACTTTAGCTTGTGTCAAATTGACAAAAACACTAACTACCGCATTTAGTTTCACACATGTTTAGGTTGAAATCCTGTTTCTACACAGCATGGAAAACTGTGTGAGCTTCGGCAAAGTACTTTACCTTTCTGTGTCTCAGTGTTCTCATGGATGAAGGAATAAAAGAGACAAAAGTCAAATTACTTTAAACAGGAACAGTTGGTCATTTTCAGGTTTCTGTTTAGATTATTCAGTTTAGAGCCAAGACTTATCCTACCTTATCAACAAAGAAAAAAATTAGCTTTTAAGTAAGTTACATTATTAAATTTTAACTATTAAATTACTTAAAAGTAAATTTTAATGCTGGATATGGTAGAGGATGTCTATAGTTTCAGTACTTACATGACTCAGACAGGAGGATGAGAGTTTGAGGCCATCCTGGGCTACACAGGGAGACCCTGTTCTAACTGGAACCAGTCCCCACCCCAGTCAACATTAACTTTTTAAAGGACTTGACAAGTGTGTACAGAGCCCTGGGTCTGATCCCTAGCACTATAAAAATAGTGGTTTTTTATTAAAATTACACTGATATCACACAATTCATTGAATGTCTTAACCTGATGCAACCTGGCTTCTACCTGCTCAGCTTTGCTGGAATGATCTATGCATGGAAACCATTACTGATCCATGTGCCAATTTTGGTGGCCATTGTTCATTTTATAGTGTAGAGTTGGCCCTCTCACCTCCTATATCTCTGTCAAAGCCCTCATCCCAACAAGAGTGCCAATCTCTTATTGTTCCTCTACAGCCTTCAGCTCTATTCAGCCTCGGGCTTTAACCAAATGTGAAACCCCTGGGAATCTTGTCAAAGAGCAGATTCTGCCTCAGTTAAATGGGGGTAAAGCTCCAATTCTCTTAACAAATTTGTTATACTTATTTTTCCCATTTTTATGAGATACCTCACAATTTGGATAATCTTGATCAGAAATGTTAAACTCTTAAGTTGATTTCAGGAGTCCCAATGGTTCTAACCCAAAGATGGTGATTTATTGGGTTAGAACTAGCTCTGTTTCTAATTCAGGATAGTAGGGTAAATTCGCATCTGTCAGGAAAACCATTTCCTTCCTATTGGATTACTCATTCTCATTAAAGTCCACTTAAACCAGATCTCTGCACCTTACTGTTTCACTCAGTTTACTATTATCATTCATATTCCATGTTGACTAATTCCCGTGTGTATGTAGCCACTTGTTTTTTACTCTGCCTATATATGTTTACATGTATGTTTTTGCTGTTCTAGAGAGTTTGTGTTCTGTCATATTCTATTCAGGTTTTTTTCCTTTTGTTTTAGTTTGTTTTGAGACAGGGTTGCAGGTAGTCCATACTGGCCTCAAACTCACCATGTAGCTAAGAATGGCCTTGAACTTCTAATCTTTCTGCCTCTACCTACCAAGTGCCAACATTGCAGTCAGTCACGAATTACCACACATAGTTTTGTGTGGTGCTGGGGCTTGGAAACCCAGGGCTAGGCAAGCACTCTACAATTAAACGACCTCCCTAGCCACTCTGCTGTTTCTTGTGACCTTTCTGTTCCTTTCTTTGGCATTTCAACTAGTTATCCATCCACATATGATTTTATCAGGATACGGGTGCTTAGTTCTGTCATGGCATTTTCTTTTATCTGTTTTTTGCTCTCCTGTCCCCCTACCCCTATTTCTTTACAGACCCCCGGTTTATGAAAGAAGAACAAATGTCAAAGGCCCAACAGTTCACCAGAAGCTTTGAGGAAGGCTTGGGCTTTGAATATGTGATGTTCTATAATAAAGTGGAGAGGAGGATGGTTTGCTTGTTTCAATCAGGTCTTCACCTGCAAGGGGTACCTGGGTAAGAACTATCCTAGCAGCATGGAGTTGAAGTAGTTTCTTCTCCTTACAAATATTATTTAACATTAAATACACTGAACATATCCAGAGACTACAAAGACAATATTAAATTGGCAGTATAGATACGTATTTGTTAATATAGGAAGATGTTTATAACACACTAATGAATATTATCTATATTGGTTAAATTTTATAATTTTAACATAATATTAAATGATGCATATAATACATTATTATAGGACATAGAGCAACAGAGTATGATGAACATGTTTACAGTGGTTTGGCCGTGACTTGATGGTAGTATTAAGGGCCTTAAGGTTTCTTCCTTCTATTTGTCTGTACTTCCTAAACTTTAAAGAGTACTTTTATTATTATTTTAAACTCTGTGTGTGTGTGTGTGTGTGGGTGTGTGTGTGTAGGAACCCAAAGCCTCTGGAGGTGTCAGGTCCTCCTGGAGCTGGAGTTGCAGGTGGTTGTGAGCCACCCAACATGGGTGCTAGGACCTGATTTGGCTGCTCTGCAAGAGTACATGCTCTTAACTACTGAACAATGGCTCCAGCCCCATTTTCTAAACTTTTAAACAGGGGATATGTACAGTTACAAGCATAATGTTTCTTAATTAAATTTTAGCCTTTTCATGCTTTAATATGATTACTACTGAGTTCCAGTTTTATTATTACAAATATCATTTCTGCTGTGAACAAAGTTAAGGATATAGATATTATTTAATATTAAATAAACTGAACATGAGGTAAATGTAAGAAGACGCTTCAACAGTTTATGTCTTGAGAGGCCATTTCATGGACTTCTGAAACTTTCTCTTCTGCTTCTGTTGTGACTAGATATGTTCATGGAGGCGCCATTGCAACCATCATTGACGTCACCACTGGCATGTGTGCATACGCTGAGGGAGTTGCCATGACCGCCAACCTCAACATCGACTATAAAAAGTAAGCCTGTGATCATTCTCCTTTTGTTCTTAAGTCAGATTCTCCAGCAGCAGATTCTGAGTCAAGGTATATGTCCATTACTATCAAGGAAGTGCTCCCAAAGGACTCACAAGGGAGATGGAGAAGCAGGACAGTGAGGAAACCACCAACCTTGAGCTCTCAAAGTTCTGCAGAGTAGCCTCTGCCAAGCCGGGCATTGGTGGCGCACGCCCTTAATCCCAGCACTCGGGAGGTAGAGGCAGGCGGATGTCTGTGAGTTTGAGGCCAGCCTGGTCTCCAGAGCAAGTGCCAGGATAGGCTCCAAAGCTACACAGAGAAACCCTGTCTCAAAAAACCAAAAAACAAAATAAAAATAAAAAGAGTAGCCTCTGCCAAACCATACAAAGAAAATCTGGGAAGAGAATTCATGCTTCAGAATCATTCTTTCATCAGTAAGGAAGCTGGGATCTATGCTAATTGTAGGGTGGGGACTGCCCTGGATCTCTGTGTTTGAGTAAAGCATCATCTAAGGAAATAATTTATTTTTATTTTTTATTAACTTGTATATATGTGAAAGAAGGGTGCATGCTATGTTGTACATATCGAGTCAGAGGATAACCCCTAGGTATCAGCTGTCTCCTTCTAACATGTGGGTCCCACATATTAAACACAGGCCATCAAGCTCAGCAGCAAGTGCCCCCAACTAGCTGAGCATCTCACTGGCCTGGGCAAATACATTTTTAAAGTTATTAAAAACATTCAGTGAGATCTAAATGGAGCCCAAATATTCCCTGCATTTTTTTAAAAGGAGAGAAAAATATCTCAGAACTTCACACAGAGAAATAGAATGGAAATAAGATGAGTTTGATATTCATCAAAAGCTAAGTTCAGCCTGATCTTCACCATCCAGCTACAGTCCTGCACTAAACAACAGAATAACTTCTAGCAAGGAATAAAGAATTAATTATAGGGCAAAAAAATAAAGAGAGTGAAAAAACAAAGGCTTCAAAGTATGAAATCTCCGGCATGGGGGGGAGGGGGGCACGGTTGGGAGTTGCTACACAAACATATAATAAATAAGTTACTAAACATCTCCCCTTTATATATCACAAAAGCCATATTACTTGAGTACTAGTTTTTGGAAGCCATGCTTCATAGATTATACGTTTATTGTCTATAGACAATACTTAGGTTATCCTACAGAAAAGTTTACTTCAGAGCTCAGTAAACATTTTCTGTTAATATTTTATATTTTTGGTCTGTGTAATATGTGACACAGCTTTTTAACTCAGCCATGAAAGCACAGAAGCAAGTCTAGATAGTACATAAGGATAGCTGTGTCCTAGATGTGCATAAGAATAGCTGTGTTCTAGATAGTGCATAATGTTAGCAGTATTCTAGATAGCGCATAAGGGTAGCAGTGTCCTAGATGGTGCATAAGGGGTAGCTGTGTCCTAGATACTACATAAGGGAAGCTGTGTTCTAGATAGTGCAAAAGGGTAGCAGTGTTCTAGATAGTGCATAATAATAGCTGTGTTCTAGATAGTGCATAAGAATAGCTGTGTTCTAGATAGTGCATAAGGTTAGCAGTATTCTAGATAGCGCATAAGGGTAGCTGTGTCCTAGATGGTGCATAAGGGGTAGCTGTGTCCTAGATACTATGTAAGGGAAGCTGTGTTCTAGATAGTGCATGAGGGCATAAGTGTTCTAGATAGTGCATAATAATAGCTATGTTCTAGATAGTGCATAAGGGTAGCAGTAGCAGTGTTCTAGATAGTGTGTAAGGGTAGCTGTGTCCTAGGTAGTGCATAAGGGTAGCTGTGTTCTAGATAGTGCATCAGGAAAGCAGTGTTCCAGGAAAACTTCACTTATAAAAAGTAGTAGTCAGTAGGCTATCATTTGCCAAACCCTGGACTGTTTACCCAGAGTTCTAATTAGAAAAGAGACAGAGCTACTTACCTTCTTTTGTAATTCCCTCTATCCCTTACCGTCCCTCAAACAAAACAGAGAACTGCTGTCTTAACTTCTTCCTCTCTAGTGGCCAATAATGGTAACTTCAAATTAAAATTATGCAAGATTGAAATTTATCATCAAAAAACAGTTAGGAAAGGGTGTCCTAAGCCACTCAGGCTCCAGCCAATGTGCATCTACATCCATTCTTTTGCATGTGAATATCCAGTTTTCCCATTTGTTAAAGAGACTGCATTTTTCCATTGTGTATTCTTGATGGGGAGATTACTCAAGTGGTGAGGTTCTTGCTGTGCATGCATGAGGTCTGAGTTCAAAGCCCCCAGCACCCACTTTCAAAAAGTTACTCATAGCACCACATGACTACAATTGTAGTGCCAGGGAGGTGAAGGTAGGGGGATTCCTGGGGCTTGCTGACCAGGCAATCTAAGCAAGTCAGTGAGCTCTCAGTTCAGTAAGACCCTGGATCAGAAAATAAAATGGAGAGAACGGCACCAGACGTTGACCTCTATTTTCTGCATACAATCACTCATACTCAAATATGCACACCACACAGGAACAAAAGATTATGTGAGCAGGTTTGTTTCTGAACCCTTTGTTCTGCTCCATTGATTTCTATGCCTATCTTTATGCCAGCACTGTGTTTTAATTACTGTGGCCCTGGAATGTATTCTGAAATCAAGAAATATTATACTCCAGCTTTCTTCTTTCTGAAGATTGCTCTAATGGGATTGCTCTAATGACTTTCCACACAAGTCACAGAATTTCCTTTTTAATTCTTCAAAAAAAAAAAAAGTACCACTGGAATTTTTTGAGGATTGCAGCCTTTTTACTTTTAAGAAGAAAAACTTCACCTTAGCCATCTCAGTTTCCAGCCAGCCAATGTGTTTGAGCTATTTTATTGTCTCTAAGTACATTGAGATAGACAATACAGCTCAAAACTGGTGGTGCTGAAGGGGCAGTGTCTGAACCTATAGCTGCGTCATGACGTACCAGGCCAGAGGCGCTCCACTGGACTTCTGATTCTGTGTAGCAGAAAAGAAACACTCAAGGGCAGTCTCCCTTCAACATGAGCAGATTCTGCATCATATACACACATGCATGCACACATAAAAGTGAGTATCAGGCTGGAGAGACAGCAACAAATTTAGGTCCGCAAAGACTACCATGTAAGATGCTTAAAGAAATGAAAGGAAAAAAAATCACAAAAAGAGGAAACAAAAAGAAACTAGAAGCTATTTAGAAATTCAAGCCAGGCAGTGGTGGCACACACCTTTAATCTCAGTACTCAGGACTCGAAGGCAGAGATCTCTGAGTTCGAGGCCAGCCTGGTCTACAGAGTGAGTTCCAGGACAGCCAGGACTACACAGAGAAACCCTGTCTCATACACCTTCCCTCCGACGCCCCCCCCAAAAAAAAGAAGAAGAAAGGATTGGAAGGAGGGAGGCTGAAAACCATGGCCCAAGCTTTCTTTTCATTTTCCTGCCTCACCTGTGATGCATGTGTATAACATTTTGTTCTCTCTCTACCTTTCAGAAGTTCAGATCAACGTGTAGCAGCTGGTTTCACACTCAGGAAGCTTACTCCTCTAAAATGTATAATTAAGTCCTGCCCTGTGTTTTTCACTGAAAATTAATTATAATGTCATGGTTTTTATAATCTCAAAGCACAGTCAAACCTCAAATCACTTCTCACTATAAGATAGTTCTCCTTTCTTAAGATTTATTCCAGTTTCCATTCAACAGTCTGTATGCTCCGTGGTGGTGGTCAGCATTACTCCATTATTTCAATGAGGTATTCAAGTGTATCCCATATTTTATTAACATGCCCACTGCAGTTAAACCAACGGCAGATATCCCGAGCTTAAATACAAAGGAGAAGCAGAATTCCAGTCAGATTGACATGGATTTAGTCTGATACAGCATTGGCTACTCTCTGACCCTCAGATGGCTCATCCAAGAAGAGATGAGAACAATTTTTCTAGAAGGGTGTTGGGACTACTGATGTATTCAGAGCTGGCAATTTAATATGTTGAATGGTAACTTGGGATCATTTTAAGAACAAGGGGGAAGGAGAAAGATGCTTTGACTCCAGTACAGAGAGAAAAGGAGCTGAGATATAAAGGGGACGGGTGAAGCTCTGATAAGAACCCCAGAGCAGTGGAAAAAAATGGTTTAAAAGTGTTGGGGGAGCATATTCTGATCTAGCATGAAAGAACAACACAAATCCACAGAAAATACAATAAATATCAATCCAGATAAATGGCAGTAAATCTATACAGCTATCCTAGAGAGGTTATAAAGCTCTTAGAATCAGACACAAAAGAGCATCTGTAAGAGAGCTGTTTCAGAAGCAAGAGGGCGCCATTACCTTAGCAATAAACCTCCACAGCAGCAGAAGAGGCTCAGAGACCAGGCCAGCCTGGAACCATGCTCCCAGCCTGCCTAAGGGCTGTCAGAGGGCAAAGTCAACTTATTTTCATTGAACCAACAATTGAGAATGGCTATAGAAAAATAGGGCAGTGACCACAGAACATATGGGCACAGAGGAAGGAAAGCAAGGACAGAATGACCAGAAGCAGGATGACAAAAGAGGACGGTGAGCAAATGACTGGTACATGTGCAGAACACGCTGTCAACAGCAAGGCTAATTAATGTCTGCATCCTGGAGATCAGTGGGAAGCTGAAGCAGTCAGACAGTGACAGAGTCGGGGAGAAGGCGAACAGAATCCCTTGTATTTTTAAGTAGGGAGGGGATTAAAATGAGTGATAATTAATACACAAAGCAGTTGGAAAGTATAAGTAAAGAGAAAAAACTCTTTGTTTTTTGTTTTTCGAGACAGGGTTTTTCTGTGTAGCTTTGGAGCCTAGCCTGGAACTCACTCTGGAGACCAGGCTGGCCTCGAACTCACAGAGATCCACCTGCCTCTGCCTCCCGAGTGCTGGGATTAAAGGTGTGCACCACCAATGCCTGGCTTTATATATATATATATATCAATTTTTAAAACAAGAAAAAAATTTCAGAGAATGTAAATCAAATAGAAAGCAAAGTAAGATAGCGCAGAAGTTAGTACACTGACTAACCAAACCGTCAGACCCAAGACAGGTTATAAGACTGAGTTTAATGTAAAAAGCTGAGACATGTGTGAAACATTTAAAAATGATAGAGAAAAAAATTTGTTTTTGAGACAAGATCTCTCTGTGTAGCCATAGATGGCCTAGAACACCATAAATAGGCCAGGCTGGCCTTGAACTCACAAAGATCCTCCAGCCTCTGCCTCCTCCTGGCTAAGATCAAAGCTGTGTGCCACCATATCTAGCCTGACACAGAACAGCTTTAAAGAAAGGAAAATGCATGAGAAAAAAAGCCAACCAGAAGAAAACTGAGATCAGCAAAAATCAATTTGCACCCCCCAAAAAAGTAGTAATAGGTACAGAGAGAACAGCTTCAAAATAATAAAGCTGGGCATGGCAGGAATCTATAATTCCAGAACTGCTCCATTAAAATGGGAGGCAGAGACAGACTCACCCAGCTGTGCACAGGCCAACTAGCCTTAGCAAGGCAGGAGGAGAGAAACAACTCCTAATTGTTGTCCTTCGACCTCCCTGCAAGCATTCTCCATGAAACATATATGTCTGCCCTTACAAATTTACACACACAAAATAGTAGATAGACAAATAAATAGAAGTTTTAAAGGGGGGCTAGGTAGATGGGTCAGAGGTTAAGAGCATTTACTGCTGTTGCCGAGGATGAGTTCAGTTCCCAGCGCCCACATTAGGTCGTCCGTGACTACCTGTAATTCCAGGGGATCTAATGTCCTCTTGTGGGCTCTTTGGGAAGCTGCACTTACCTGCCATACTATCACACAGATAAACACAATTTTAAGATCTTAAAAAGAAATTTTAAAAAAGAAAAAGAGATACTGAACAGTTAAGAACACCAGATGTCCCCAGGACGCTGACAGATTTTGAATAGGCACCAATAGAAGAACAAAGCCTGGTGGTCTCCATCAGAGGGTCAGGAAAAGCTAATGGAATGTTAAAAGGTGATGGGAGGGAAGACTGGGCCAGAGGACAATCACAGTGACAACCTCCTTGTGTCTTAGAGTCCCTTCATCCACATGGCAGTGCTGTAGAAACAGAGAACATTTCCATGTTCCACCTTTTACATCAACCAACAGAACTCTGACCTTCAAAGAAAGTTCCTTTTCATTATGGTACTCTATCTCCAGGATTCCCTGCAGATGACGAGCCACTAGTCATATGTAGCTATTTAAATTTAAGTATAGCTTAATTAGAATGAAATGAATTGTAAGATTCAATTTCTCATTTACTAGCCACATTTCAAGTGGTCAGTAACTACATGTGACTACCACATTGGACAGCTCAGCTGTGGGACTTTTACATTATCATAGCACTGGCTTAGAATAATAAGGCTGTTGCCAGACAAGTACTCTAAAAAGAAGTAGGTAAGAAAAATTTTAATTGAATATATGTATTTATTATGTCTAGAGTGGGGCGCATATGTACTGTAGCATGCATGTGGAGGTCAGAGGTCAACTTGCAGGGTCTTCCTCCACCATGAAGGGTCCCAGGGATTGAACTCGGGCCATCAGGCTTGGCTGCAAGAGTCTTTACCCGCTGAGCCATTGAACTGGTCCAAGAAAATTTGAGTCAGTCTCTACACTGACAAGGACTACTCCACAGCCCTGTTTTCACTTCTTTCTGCTACTAGCATTAGACTAGACCCTGGATCCCCAAATTGGAAAGTCTGCCAAGACAGAGCTGGAATCCCTAGTGAGCTCTTTGAACCAAAGCCCAGAAGGGCAGTCTGGGACCATATGCACATAGGCAGGCAGGAGTGAGTGGGAGAAAAGAAGCAGGAAGGAGAGACTGTCCATGTCAGAGCCCTACGATATGTTCCATCTAAGACAATCAGTACTCACTATCGTCCTGTGTGTATCCACCCTATTGTAAGTCTGATGGTCTTTCAGTATTACATAGATTTAACAAAAAAAAATGTTTTTTTTCTCCCTTCTGCAGACCTATCCCCCTTTGTTCCGTTGTGGTGGTAAACTGCCAAATTAGTAATACTGAAGGAAGGAAACTTTTTGTTTCCTGTAGTATTCAGAGTGTTGATGAGAAGACATTATACACAGAGGCAACAGGTGAGAAGTGCACTGTCCCTGGGAGGCTGGCCTCGGTTAGGGTTACATTTGCTTTTTCATTTTATAACGCACAAAACAAGCTAAATGTTGTGGAGTTGGATTTTAGTATGAGTGTTTGAGACAAGGTTTCATGTAGCCTGGGATAGCCTTGAAACTGCTATGCAGCAAAGGGTAACCCTGAACTCCTGACCCTCCTGCCTCTACTTGCTAGTGCAAGAGTTACAGGCTTGATTCATCCTGCCATACCTGGCTTAGGTTGGTTGGGGTTTGGTTTAGGTTTTGTTGGGGGCGGAGGTGGTCGGTGCTGGATTGAACCCCAAGGCTTTGTCCATACTAGGCAAGCACTCTTGTCACTGATCTTCATACCCAGCCCCGTGGCTAGAGGCGTTCTTACATATTGCTAGCACAGGACCTGTTTGCCAATATCCATTACAGTTGGGAGTGAGATAACATTTGATCCAATCCCAGAATTGTCTTTCATAGGTAACATAGGAGGTTGCTATGGTTCAAGTATTGGTGCATCCCTCACTTGCAATTGCAAAAGAATGAGCAAAGCATTGACTTACTTCAGTGGAAAACTGGCAAAGAACTACAGTTCTTTTCTAATTTATGCCATAAAAATACTGTAGCCTGTTTTAGTACCATAGGCAAAAGTGAGGAAAGTCTTTGATGTGAAGGGAGCTCATTAGCATATACTGGGTGAGAACTGCAGATGGCAGGGCAGAAATCTAAGACTTCGTCACTGGCTTAGAATGAAAAGCAGAGGTCCTTCCATTTCTTCCCTTCCCTCCCCTTCACTTGCACTTGTCTCCCTCCATGTATTTATTATGAGAGCCATTATAGACTAAGATGTGGTAAGCCCAGGGACATAGAAACCCACACACACACCAGGGAAGAGCAGCAGCAGTGGCCAGCAGTGTCAGAGTCTGGACAGGATAAGGAGGATATATGCACAAGGGATTAGCCCACCACAAGATGCCAGAGCCCAAGGAAGGTGTCCCTGGAGCATGGCAGCAGGGATGGGAGCAGGCTCACTCTGACAGTCACAGGTATGGAGAAAGTAATTAAATCCTGTACTTGCGTGGGGATTAGAGACACTCACTGGACATGTGTGTTTTCCCAATCTGTCTTTCTTTCAAATAGTGTAAGAACTTTTGAGAAATCATTTTACATACACTTTGCTAAGTAATTCTCTAATTTCCTAGAGAGAAATATACCATTGTACCAATCTCACGATTTTTCTATAAGCTTGAAATTATGAAATAGGAAGAAAGGCAACTGTCTACAGGTTATTTTCATGTACTTAGACCAGGTCTTGAAAGGTTCACGGGTGACTGTTCTGGAAAGGGACTGGGTGAGCAGTTCACTGGCCCTTTGTACATCTTAAAAGCGAAGACATGGGAAATGATTACCAGGGAGGGAGTCGAATTTTATATGTCCCAAAACTTAAAAGAAGCCCAATTTAAGAAAAAAAGAGAATTCAATAGTGGTTATAAACATGAAAAGTTAGTTACAATGAGAAAAGAAAGCACAACTTATTCCTGCTGACTTAGAGATGCAGCTTCCTTCCTGCTGAGATCTCTATAGGAAGCTTGCCAGAAATGACACCTAGAGATTCTCCTGTTTGTACTTTGAGCAATGCATCCAACAGGGGCTTTGCAGGCCAGAGCCCTGGAAGCCTCAGCCTCAAATGCAGATAGCTTACACAGCACTAGTTACATTTTCAGTTTTTACTTAGTGTACCTCACATGTACATGTTTATAATCATAATTCTTGAATTATGACATGATCCTCACTGGTATATAACTGTTCATCTTTTATTTATTCATCTACTAAACTTAATAATAAATAATCCCCTAGGGCCTACCACCAAATAGGAACCACTCTGCAAAATCCACCAAATCTTCCTGTTCTGGTCCTGGGCCCTTCCTCATGTGTCCAGGGCCAGAGTGTAACCCTTCACATGGGATGGGCTCTCAAAGTCCCTTCTTGCACCAGGAAAGATACTAATCCACCACCAGAGACTCCCTGGAGTACAGAGGCCTCCTTATTGACATCCATAGAAACCAGATTCTTTATCACATTTTATCTCTACATAACTGCTATCCTCATCTTTTCTTCCTGCTTAATGACAACTCTGATCTTGAATTTAGTAGCTTGCATTATTTTGTAGCTTCTAGCTTTTACTTTTAAAATGTCCTTAAGAATGGTTGAGTATGCCAGGCAGTGGTGGCACACCCCTTTTGTCCAAGCACTCAGGAGGCAGAGGCAGGCAGATCTCTGTGAGTTTGATGCCAGCCTGGTCTAGATAGTGAGCACCAGGATGGCCAGGGATACACAGAGAAACCCTGACTCAAAAAAAAAAAAATGGTTGGATGAAATGGTTCATGCCCATAATCCTTGTGTTAGGGAGGCTGAGGCCAACATGAACTACATAGTAAGACTCTCGCTCAAAACAGAAAAGAATATGCCGGGGAATTGGTAGCACACGCCTTTAATCTTAGCACTCGGGAGGCAGAGGCAGGCAGATCTCTGTGAGTTCAAGACCACCCTGGTCTCCACAGCAAGTGCCAGGACAATCTCCAAAGCAATACAGAGAAACCCTGTCTTAACCCCCCCCCCCCCCCCCGCCCAAAAAAAGAAAGAGAGAAAGAAAAGAATAGCATACATCTAAGGGGTGTATTCTTTAGTTGTTCATTTTTTTTAACCCTGTAGGAAAGTGATTGTGACATATGTGACTTTTTCTGGGTTTGATTTTCACTTAACTATATGTTGCTGAGGTTCGTCCACAATCTGGGCTGTGTGGCTCTCTTGTTTTTGCTTCCACATAGTACTCCATGAGCCACCACACCACAGTGACTCTGCTTGTCTGATAATGGACTCTGATCCTGCTGCTGCTGTGTCTGTTTTGCTTGTGTCCTCTGCATGGTGGGAGCTTGGCATCTGCTTAGAAGCAGGGTTTCTGCTTGTAGGATGTGTTTGCACAGGAGCCCACCTTGTCTTCAAAAGCTGCCTGCAAAACATAGGACATTCTTTTGATCCCTGTCTTCTCTAGCAATTGGCAGTCAGATTTCTCAATTTTTACCAATAAAAGTTTTAAATAGAATCTTGTTTTTTCTTTTTAAGACAAGGTCTCACTATGTAGACCAGGCTGGCCTCAGACTCACAGAGATCCACCTGCCTCTGCTTCTCAAATGCTAGGATTAAAGTTCTGTGTCACCATGCCTGGCTAAAATGGGATCTTAATGTTATTTAGAATTGCATTTCTCAGATAACCTATAGAGTTGAATATTTCTTCATATGTTCACTGACCATATTTGTTTCCCATTCTGTGAAATTCCTGTTGGCTCATCTTTTCTTTCTTTTTTCTCGTTTCTACCATCTTACAGGAGTTCTTTACTTATTTTCAGTTTAGCCTATATTGGATAGGTAGAAACTCCATACATCTTTTCAGTGTATAAGATGGTTTCATTTGCTTTAAAGTATCTCTTTGTGAACAGATTTATTTATTCTGTTTCAGTTTTCTGTTCTGTCTGCATGTATGCCTGCAGGCCAGGCAGAGAGGGCACCAGATCTCATTACAGATGGTTGTGAGCCATCATGTGGTTGCTGGGAATTGAACTCAGGACCTCTGGAAGAATAGCCAGGGCTCTTAACCTCTGAGCCATCTCTCCAGCCCCATGGACAGGAGTTTTTAATGTTAATGTAGTCACGTTTAGTCCATGTTTTTCCCTTTATGAGTAATGCTTTTTATATCCCATTTAAGAAATCCACTTTCCCCCTAAGCATCAGCCTCTTAAAAGAGTGATAGATAAGGGAGCAGGAGGATGGCATTAATGGTCTGAATCCACAGTCAATTTGCAGCTCCGTTCCAAGGCTTTCTTATCTGGATTGCTTCTGTTGCTATGATAAAACACCCTGACCAAATGCAGTCTAGAGAAAGAAAAAGTTTATTTCAGCTTACACTTCATGTCACAGTCCACCATTGAGGGAAGTCAGGGCAAGAACTCCAGGCAGAAACCATGGAAGTTCACTGCTTCAGTAAGCAGGTTCATGCCTAGCTGCCTTAGACAGCCCAGAACTGCCTGCTCCCACAGACCAATCTGATATGGGCAATCCCTCAATTGAGACATCCTTCTTGGGTATCAAGGCTGTCAGGTTAACAGTTAAAGCTTATCAGGACACTCACTAAACTTTCCATATCAGTTGGCTCAGTTGTAAATGCACTTCTCATTTCCCAGGCTACCTCTTGATAGAAGTGTTAATGAATCGTGAAGCAGTAGAGGACCTGGTAGAGGGGAGGGAAAGTAATGACTTTGACAGCCAAAAGTTGATTTATTTATTTTTGAGACAGGGTCTGGTTGCATAGAACTCACTATGTAGATCAGGCTGGCCTTGAACTCACAGAGGTCCACCTGCTCTGCCTCCCTCCCATGTGCTAGGATTAAATGTGTGCACCACCACCCCCAGCCAAAAGTTGGTTCTTAAGTCTTCTGAGAAACGAGAGTAGAAAGATAGTGATACAAGAACTCCCTTTCCAGTGTCTTCCTGCTTGGCTTCATCAAATGGAACACAGTTGACTTACAATCATCTACTGTTTTGTCCACTTAGCTTTATTTGTAAAGCTGGATCCTGACAAGCGTTTGACATAAAAGAACTTATGGTGAATTCCACACTGTTCTGCATGAGATTCTCCTCCTCCAGAAGTGGCACCTATCTCCACTCCTGTCCCAGCTGCTGAATCCCCGGGAAAAGCCTGGCTCATGGACTCTTGAGAACAGCCTCTGAAATACAGGGCTGTGGGTACTCACCACCCCCTTCCAGATTTTCATAAGAAGCACTCCCTGGGAGAGTCTCAGCATCATCTCTATCCCTAGGACAATGTGTGGTCCTGAAAAGTGAACAGACTCCAAAGCTAACAAGCACAGCACCTGCTCCATTGCAGACTGCAGAAAAAAAAGATTATGTAGAAACTTCCTGCAAACATGGAGGAAATGGAGTGGTGTGTGTGGAGTGCACGTGTGCATAAGCATGCACTGTGTGTTACTACCAAACGAGGTTTGTTGTATGTGAACAAATCTCTTTCTGGTCATATTAGGGAATACAGTTCATTCCTGCGGGAATGGATCACATGCATGTGTTGTCTAGAGTCCTAGAGATTAAACTGTTGCTCATTTTTTCCTCAACCTATGCTATTGTATCTTTTATCCCTGTAGTTTGTCATCACTAGAAGAAGGCTCTGTTAGCTTTCTGGGGTTATAATATAGAACTACAAGCTAGGTGGTTTAAACCAACAGAAACTTCACTGTCATAGTCCCAGAGGCTAGAAGTCTAAGGTTAAAGTATTAATAAAGCCTTGCTCCTTCTGAAGGTTCTGGGTGGGAACTGTTTACATCTCTCTCCTAACTACTATCAAGGAAGCCTCCAGCATTGCTTGGTTTTTAGACATGATCCTCACTGTTATATATGTAATATCCCTCAATGTCAATGATCTTAACTTGCTTATCAACGATGTTCATAGCAGCACTATTTGTAATAGCCAGAAACTGGAAGCAGCATAGATGCCCCTCAACCGAAGAATGGATAGAGAAAATGTACATTTACACAATGGAGTACTACTCAGCAGAAAAAAACAATGGAATCTTGAAATTTGCAGGAAAATGGATGGAACTAGAAGAAACCATCCTAAGTGAGGTAACCGAATCACAAAAAGACAAACATGATATGTACTCACTCATACGTGGATTTTAGACTTAGAGTAAAGGATTACCAGCCTACAATCCACACTGCCGGAGAAGCTAGTAAACAAGGAGGACCCTAAGAGAGACATGCATGGTCCCCAGGAGAAGGGGAAAGGGTCAAGATCCCCTGAGCAAATTGAAAGCACAGGAAGAGGGGGGAGGGAGCTATGAGAATGAGAAGGGAAGAAGAGGAAGGATGCAGAGGACATGAGGGAGCAGAAAGATGAAGCAGGTGAAGAATAGAAGAAAGGATATGTGATAGGTAGGGTTTTAGTTGGGGGGGTGGTGGAGGAGGAGGGGAGGGAGAAGCTGGGATTGTCATGTAAAACAATCTTGTTTCTAATTTAAATTTAAAAAAATCTGAAAAGAAAAAAAAGATACAGGCTAACAGAATGGACACGAAGACAGAATCCATCCTTCTGCTGCATACAAGAAACACATCTCAATGTCAAAGACAGACATGACCTCAGAGTAAAGGGTTGAGAAAAGATTTTCCAATCAAATGGACCCAAGAAACAAGCTGCTGTAGCAATCCTAATATCTAACAAATTAGACTTTAAACTAAAATAAATCAAAAGAGATGAAGGTTATTTCATATTCATCACAGGAAAAGTCCATCAAAATGAAGTCTCAATTCGGAAATCTACACCCCAAATATGAAGGCATCTACATTCATAAAAGAAACATTACTAAACCTCACACACTTATAGTAGGAGACTTCAACACCCCACTGGACAGGGCCACCAGACAGAAACTTAACAAAGAAACAAAGGAAGTAACAGAAGTTATGACCCAATTGGTATTAACAAACATCTATAGAACATTCCATCCAAACACAAAAGAATATACCTTTTTCTCAGCACCACATGGAACCTTCTCTAAAATTGACCACATACTTGGCAACATAGCAAACCTCCACAGATACAAAAAAAAAATGGAATTGGAATAACCCCTGTATCTTACCAGACCACCATGCTTTAAAGTTAGAATTCAACAACAACACAAATTGCAAAAACCCTACAAACTCATGGAAATTAAATAATACGCAATTGCACCATTCCTGGGTAAAGGAAGAAATAAAAAAGAAATTAAAGACTTCCTAGAATTTAATGAGAATGATGAAACAACATAACCAAATTTATGGGACACTTTGAAAGCAGTGCTAAGAGGAAAGTTCATAGCACTAAGTGCCCACATGAAGAAACTGGAGAATAGCAACACTAGAGAATTAACAGCACAGCTGAAAGCTCTGGAACAAAAAGAAACAAACACACCCAGGAGAAGTATATGCCAGGAAATAATCAAATTAAGGGCAGAAATCAATAAAGTAGAAACAAAGAAAACAATACAAAGAATCAATGTAACAAAGAGTTGGTTCTTCAAGAAAATCAACAAGATAGACAAAACCTTTATACAAACTAACCAAAAGGCAGAGAGAGAACATGCAAATTAACAAAATAAGAAAGGAAAAGGGGGAGATAACAACAGACACTGAGGAAATTCAGAGAATCATCAGGTCATACTTTGAAAAAATGTACTTCACAAAATTCGAAAATCTAAAGGAAATGGGCAATTTTCTGCACAAATATCACTTACCAAAATTAAATCAAGAACAGATAAGCAATTTATTTTTTCAAGGTTATTCAATGCATTTTTTTAAAAATAAATGTGTCCAGAAAAAAAATCCCCCCAATAGCAATCTCCCCATCCAGCTCCCTGTCTGTGCACAGGAAGCCACAGGAGACACCAACTGGAACAGCAGGGGTGGCAGTCCCACTCTGTGGGATGGACTTCTATTTCCGGGTGAAGAATGTGGAAGAGTTTTGAGTTCCCTTTGTTCTCCAGTGTGTCTTATACAAAATGTTACACTTTAAACATATATTTATGGAATTTGCACAAATAGAAAATTTTTACAAATTACAATCAGGCTTGGCAAGATAATAGCTTCCCTTCTCCCCACTCATTAGGTGTGATGATTGCTCCATATTTACATCTATGTTTTAAAAAGTCTGAGCTCCTACAGACCTGGAGGAAGTATATAAAAGTTGGCTAAACACCGTCAATTCATCCATGAGAGCTATACAGGGGTCAATACAGGCCAGCCAGTCCATGACTCACTCCCTGAATCAACTCAGAAACAGACCCTCTCAGCCAGCCCCGCATCCACCCTGGCCCGCCTGATGCAGTGTGTGGGGTTTGGGTGGGGAGAGGGGAGTGGATGGAATGGGAACAGGACAACCTGGTTAAGAGTCCTTCTTTCAAACAGCCTCCAGCAGGGCTAAGCCAGCTGGCTGGTGAAAGCCACCCTAAGGCTTTGAAAAGAACACACAACTCCTCAGGGAGGAAGCGGGGGGGGGGGTTGTTGTTTTTTTATTGTTTTTGTTTTTGTTTTTGTTTTCCCCCCGAAGGGCTACAGAATGAGGGAAAGAAGACTGGAGAGAACAATGCTTGCTATTCTGATGTTAAATCTCTGTCCTGAGTACCAAGCCCAATCTCAGCAGTGCAAAAAAGACTGAAGTAGCTCAGGGGGCCCGAGATCAAAGTTGGCATAGCAGCTGTCCACCCATTGTGCAAGGCCTGTCTCCACCAGCGACCGGTTTATCAACACCACTTCACCTCCTACCACACTCCATAGCTGAATCAGAGGAAGGCCAGTCTCACTGTAGCTTGTCACCTGGGCCAGCAGTGCTGTGTTGCCTGTCATCTCACTCATGGCTGCATCTGCCTCAGGTGAAAAGTGGTCGTCATCTGACAGTGGAACCACACTGTCCAGAAGGACTTCCGCTCCTTGGAATGGCAGGGTCACAAAGTCAGACCTAATTTGCCGGAGCACATCAACTTTCACCCTCTTATATCCACCATAGTCCACGTAATGAATCTCCGCCTTATTGGTCTCCTCATGGGAGGCCACTACTTGGGCTCGCCACCAGGCCCCGTCCGCTCCAGGGGCAGTGCAGATAACCGTTATTTCCACCGGGGTGGGCAAGGTGGGGATTCCAGGCTGAGAGTAACAGAGGTACATCTGCTGGTCCAAGCTGCACACAGAGCACGGAAGGTGGGGTGTTGGCCACCATGACTTCCACGGTGATACCACCGGGCCGCATGAGCCAAGATGTCATTGGTAGGGAAGGCAGTGCCACCGAAGGCAGTGGTGGCGCATAGACATTGGTGAGGTTCAGTTCCTTAAACTTCTTTCCAATCAAGTTCAGAGCTTTGTCTACACGGTGCTGAGAACCTGCAGTGTGGCAGATCTGGACGTTCTGGGCGTAAGGTAGGGTAGAGATGTAGATCTTGGCACCAGATGTCTGCTTCAGAAAACTTCACGTACCGGCCCTGTTTGCCAATCAGTCGACCGACTAAGTGCTTTGGCACCTCTATCCCCCAGACAATGAGGTCAACCTTCTTGGGGTTGGAACTTGACTGGACATTCTGGAGGCTGTCAGGTTTTGGAAGCCTGCAGCAGCTGTCCACTGAATCCATGCTGTTCCTGTCAGAACTTCCTGAGCGATCTGCTTCCGCATCCACGGTCCACCCATCCTCAGTCCCCACGTCTGAGAGCTCCTCCTTCAGCACCCCGTTGCTGAAGGGCTCAGTACTGTCTTGGGGTGGGGTGACAGCTTTGTCTCCGAGGTTTGAGATGGTCTCTGTACAAGAGTCTTCAAGCCCCAAAGTAGTCAAAGAATCTGAGGGCGGCCCAAAAGAGGTCACTGAAAGGACGCTCTACCTATTGTTAGACATACAGGTGACAAAAGTGTCATCTCCTCCCGGGGAACTTGCCCCATCCAGGGACTGTCTCAGGCGGGTAACTGGTGGTGGCCAAGGGGCCAGGGAGATGTGGTGTGCAGAGTTCTTTGGCTTCTGGTCCTTAGTGAGACTTGACAGAGGACTGCTAAGACGGCTCACATAGGTCT